AGCTGAGATCAGGGCCCCGTTGTGCCGGGCGCTGCACAGACACACAGGGAGAGACAGTCCCTGCCCCAGCTGAGATCGGGGCCTCGTTGTGCCGGGCGCTGCACAGACCCAGCGAGAGACAGTCCCTGCCCCAGCTGAGATCGGGGCCCCGTTGTGCCGGGTGCTGCACAGACACACAGCGAGAGACAGTCCCTGCCCCAGCTGAGATCAGGGCCCCGTTGTGCCGGGCGCTGCACAGACACACAGGGAGAGACAGTCTCTGCCCCAGCTGAGATCAGGGCCCCATTGTGCCGGGCACTGCACAGACACACAGGGAGAGACAGTCCCTGCCCCAGCTGAGATCGGGGCCCCATTGTGCCGGGCGCTGCACAGACACACAGTGAGAGACAGTCCCTGCCCCAGCTGAGATCAGGGCCCCGTTGTGCCGGGCACTGCACAGACACACAGGGAGAGACAGTCCCTGCCCCAGCTGAGATCAGGGCCCCGTTGTGCCGGGCACTGCACAGACACACAGCGAGAGACAGTCCCTGCCCCAGCTGAGGTTGGGGCCCCATTGTGCCGGGTGCTGCACAGACACACAGTGAGAGACAGTCCCTGTGCTGATGATCTTTCACTCTAAATATGCACAACAGGCAAAGAGGAGATTATTATCCCCATTTTACAGATGGGGAACTGAGGCACAAGGGGAATATGGGCAGGATTTTCAAAAGGGCTCAGCGTTGGCCTTACCTATACAGGGAGAGAATATCAGATACTAGAACAGTCTAGCAGGCAAAGGAAGAGGAAGACCCAGAGGTGTTGAAACTAGATACAGTCAACCTGGAAGTAAGGTACGACTTTTTGTCAGTGGTTAATTACCCCTGGGATCAGCTTCCAGAGGGAGGTCGTGGATTCTTCGTCACTTGCAGTCTTTAAATCAAGTGTGGGTGACTTTCTGAATGACACACTCTAGCTCAGCCAGAAGTTAGGGGCTGGATGCAGGAATCGCTGGATAGAATTCCCTGGTCCTTGTGATGCAGGAGATCAGGCTAGAACATCTGATGATCCCTTTCAGCCTTAGGATCTAGGGTCTGAGTTCTCTGTTATGCTGAGGCCCTTTTACACTGCCCTGCCTTAGCATCAGGGAGAATCAGGGCCTATGACTCTGAGTAGGGAGAGATTTCAGAGGGAGGGAAGGATGAGTCCAAGAGGTTTGGTTTGTAAAGTCTATTTCCCCACTGAATTCTTTAACAGGATTTCTTGATGCGACACAAGGGCTACCTTGATCCCTGGATTGGCCTCAGGAGGGAACCGGGCCAGCCCTGGAAGTGGCCCAATGGCTCAGTATTCAACGACCCGTGAGTCGCTTTCTTTCTGTTCACTGTCTTGGGTCACAGGCAGCTGTGATGGGGGCTCCCCTGTCTGTGGGTCGGTTCTAAACTCCCAGCCCTTGCTGTGGGACGGATGGAGACCCCCTCCTACAGTCCTTGGGGAGGCAGGAGTTCCCCCGTAAATCACTCCAGCACCTTCATTGGCAAATGCACAGTCCAAGTGCCCCTCCAGCATCTGTCAGAGCATTTCCTTCCCTTTGGGCTCTGGCTGATTCTCAAAGGCCGTGTGGGCTCACAGAGACCAGAGCTGCTCCCTTAGCAGGAAGGGTGGCCAATTGTTACAGCGCTGACCTGACACTAGGAGACTTGGGGGGAGGGATAGCTCAGTGGTTTGAGCATTGGCCTGCTAAACCTAGGGTTGTGAGTTCAATCCTTGAGGGGGCCACTTAGGGATCTGGGGCAAAATCAGTACTTGGTCCTGCTAGTGAAGGCAGGGGGCTGGACTCGATGACCTTTCAAGGTCCCTTCCAGTTCTAGGAGATAGGATATCTCCATTAATTTAATTCTTTGCTCTGCCACAGACTCCCGTATGGCCTTGATCAAGTCTCTTAGCCTCCCTGTGCCCCATCTGCAAAACTGGGATAAAAGCGGGGGAGTTGTAAGGATCAATACGTTAAAGAGTGTGAGGTGCTCTGATACTATGGGGGTGGGGGTTAGATACGGACCTAAGACTGGGAGCAGAGGGCTGGTCCATTCACACTGCCAAGATGTGGAGTGGAAGTTCCACACAACTAAAAGGCTGAATACAGACAGATCTACTGGAAATAATCACTGGTTCTTAGTCTGCTTGTGTGATAATTCAATATTTCACTAGTACTTGGACTCAAATTCTGTGCTGACTCCACAGGGTAGAACTAACAGGGGAGATGTTAATACTGGGGAGAAATTCCATCGTCAGCGAGGTTGCAGAAAAGACTTAAGTAGTTCATCGGCCTTGTAATTACCACTAAGTGAAATTTTTCAGACAAAACTTTTTACCAAATAGCAGATTCAGCTACACTGAAATGGTTTGTGAATTCATGTCGGTTTCACGAAATTGTTTCAGTTAAAAAAAAGAGAGAGAATCATGAAAAAAATCAAAATATTTTGATTTATCATTTGAAACAACTTTTTTATTTTGGAATTGCCTTTAATACTAAAACAATTAAAAACATTTAAAACGGTCAGAATCAAAATGAAGTGTTTCAGTTTTGCCAAACAAAACATTTTGACACAAAACTAACTTCTTTGACTTTTTGATTCTCCAAAATCTTTGGAAAATGTCGTTTTCAGGTTGACCTGAAATGATTTTTTTTTTTGGTCAGTTTTTTGGAATCGCCAGTGAACTGAAAAATCCATTATTCACAATCTACTTTTAATGGCCTCCTACAGAGAGGTCAATTTCATCCTCTCAGAAGGCCTCTGAGATGAGAAGGAACGTCTGATCCCTGACTGATTGTAGCTTCGTTGCTCTTACTTTTTTGCAGGGTTCAAACAGGAGGAGGAGGAGAATGCGCCTATATGTACAAAAACACCATCAGCAGTTCAAAGTGCTACACACAGAGGAACTGGATCTGTAGCAAACCTGATGAATTTGCAAAGAGAGAGATTACTTAAGAACTAGGAACATGCGCCATTTTTATTTCACTGCTTCTTGGGGTACCAAGAAAGAAGACTTTTTGGTTTTGTTTTTCCTGTTTGGTTTATATTACTCACAATATTGGGAAATATGCTGTTAAATCTTGTCTCCCCAGTGTAAAGCTGATGCAGATGAGCAAAGAATCAGTCCTGCTTGTCTTGTACATTTCTATCCCTTAACCCACTTCTAGTGTAACCCTTCTGCCAGGCCAAGTGATAGCAGCAAGGGCCGGGTTCAGTACATAGGGGTCCCTTCCCAACAGCGTGACACAGAACCAGCTCGAGCCCCCACCCAGTGACCTGGGAAAATCTTACACACACCCCTGGGCGCCTCGAAGAGGCAATACTTCCCCTCTCGCAAGCACAGAGCCTCGGTGTAGCAGAAAAATGTTTAATAACATGAGGTAAACGACATAGCATTAAATTGGGAAAACACCACAACTAGAGTTCATAGACCAAACCATGAGCGAAGACCCACCCCAGCAAATTGGGCCGTGTCCTTTCCCGTTGGTTCTTGAAACCAGCAACCAAAGTCCCAAAAGTCCAACAACCCCAAAGTCTCTTGGGTCCAGCAACCCAAGAATCACCAAAGTCCCGAAAGTCCAACAACCCCCCAAAGTCTCTGTCCCTGGTCAGTGCAGCCCCAGAGTTCAGGGGGGAGGGGCGCAGGGTGTTAAGGGGCACCTTACGTGATCCGAGACCAACCGGCCGCCTCTCCGTGGGGTTCCGCCGCAGCCTTCACCACGAGCCGCTCCACTCCACCTGCTGTCCCGTGAGCCGCTCCTGCCGTCCCACGAACTGCTCTGCTCTGCTCCGCTCACCGACCTGTGAGCCGCTCGGCTCCACTCCGCTCCAACCGTCCCCGCAAGGCTCCGCTCTGCCAGCTGCTCCTCCAGCTGCTCTGCTCCGCTCACCGACCTGTGAGCCGCTCAGCTCCGCTCTGCTCCAACCGTCCCCGCGAGGCTCCACTCGGCTAGCTGCTCCTCCAGCCGTCCCCGCAAACTGCTCCGCCAGCCGCTTAGCACTTCAGGCTCCCCCACTAGTTAACACAGCCTCAGTGATCTCAGCTCTTAGTAACTTTAGCTCTTTTGTGATTTCAGCTCATAGTGCACTAGTGGCCCAAAGTGAACTCAGCTCAGCAGCCTGTAACTAGACTCCTAAGGGAATCAAAGTTAGCTCTGACATTCAACAGTGGAGAGAGGAGAAGGTGCAATTGGTGTTTCAGGCGCACGCAGGGGCCCCACACCACCAGGTACCAATACCTGCCCCCAACCTCTCTCAATTCACTGGGTTTTGTAACCCATGCCCCTTGACAAGCAAATGCTACTTAGGTAATGGTGACGGATTCACTCAGTCCTTCTGTCATACAACAGTTCCACTGGCCTTGATTCACAGAATCAGGGTAACAAAACTTTATTCTTCCTGCCCCAATAACAGAGAAACTGGGGATCCCACACCAGCCAAAGTAACCACTTTCGGTTGCTGTGGGCTCATGCTAGGCGTGTGGGTGTGCCTATGCAAACAAGATCCGCCCCTGGAGTTCTTTTCCACACTCGCCATAATTCACCACCAGATGTCAGGGTAGAGCTCATCCTGACTCTGCTTACATCAGCATACAATGAAGCAAAGGACAGCACTACCTCATGTAACCGAGCAGTATCAAATCAAAATGGGCACCTACTGGAGTTCCCCTCTCCTGCTCATGCATGCCAGAGGCAGAGTGCTGGGACTGGCTTGATCCCTCAGGAGACGAGAAGAGATCCTGGCTCACCAAATTACCAGACGACCCTGTCGTATGACCCACCTCATCCTCCAATTCCACTTCCTTGTCCACCACTTTGTCCTTGGGGTTGAGTCCGCTGGCTGCTGTCTCCAGCCACCCCCTGCCCAAAGTACTTATGGGGCTCTCAGCGGTGGAGGTGAGGTCACTTCTGAGGATGGTGTCCAGCTCCTTGTAGAAGTGGCAGGTCTTTGGCACAGCACCAGAGAGTTCGCCTCCCTTGCCTGCCTCAGCTCCTTTATCTTTGCACAGCACGGCTGTGTGTCCCATTCGTGGCCCTTCTCCAACATGCCACCAAAAATCTTCCCATAGGTATCAAAGTTCCTACAGCTGGAATGGAGCTGGAACTGCACAGTTTCCTCTCCCCACAGACCCAACAACTCCGGTGTACTCCAAGTGTGAGAGCATTTGGTGCGTGGAGCCGCCATGGTCACCTGGGAAGATGCGATGTGAGCTCTCCACACCATCCTCAGCAGTGACTAGTCACTAGTGGGGTGACAGCGCTGAGCCAGGAACTGAATGGAAGTGGGGGTGCAGGGCCACATGGGGTGGGGGCAGGGGCTCCAGGGCCACAGGGGGATGGGGTGGAGGACTCCAGGGACACATGGGAACAGGGGCAGATGTGTCTGACTGAACGGAAGAAGCTCAGGGTCTGCATGGGGGCGGCTCCCCAACTTCCTAACAATCCCTGCTCCCCTCCCCCAAAAGAAATTGTTCCATGATTCTCCCACCCACACCCAACAATCCTCCAGGTTCCCTTCCAGGCTCCTTCCCTCTCCCTTAGCTCCTCCCTTACTCCCGACTCCCCCAAGCCTTTGCACTGCTCCTGAGGGGTGCAGGAAATACACTTCTGTATTGTAGTTTGAATGAATTACTAAAAGTTCTGTATTAATATGCCTAGTAAGGAAACTATTGGTCCAAAAAACATTTTCTGAATTTTTTGTTTGTATTGTTACAGACATACTTGCTGACAGGTATTTATTTGAAATAAATTACCAAAATAATTGAAACTGGTGTGATTATATTGTGTTATCTTGACAAATAGACTACATGGAATTTTGCGGAATTTTAGAATATTGTGCACAGAATTTTTATTTTTTTGGTGCAGAATTCCCCCAGGAGGAGTTACATCAATATAGCCACTTGTGTGTAGAGAAGTAAGTCAGAACTGACAGGTAGAAGTGAGAAAAAGAGATGAAGATAAGGAGCACTGAGTGTGCCTGTTTGTGTGAGAGGCGGGAGAAGTAGCTGATAGTCAGTGGATGTTAATGAAGGTGACAGCAGGGCACTGACACCACAAGGCATTTAGACTGAATGTCATTTCCTGTGGGAACTCGGGTCAGTGTGGGGGCAGCAGCAACATAACTGTAACTTTTCAAGTTTTCCTCAAGTGGCAAAGTTATAGGGGCCAGTGGCAGATTACCGCAAAGGCCGATGGGGCCCAGGCCCTGCAGGAATGGGCAGAACTCTGCCCCCCCGCTCCTCCTCTCCTCCCACCCCGCTCCTCCTCTTCCCCCTGAGGCCCTGCCTCCAGCCCCGCCCAAAGCCTGTGGGTCAGGGTGGTGAGCAATATTCCCCCCGCCCCCAGGCAGAGGTGGCTGAGTGGTTCATGGGAGCCATACGCTAAACTGGCCCGAGCCCTCCCCCCCCCCACACACACATGGAGCTCGCTCACCCAAGCCCCTCTCCCTCCCCACCCCGCGTGGCATGGAGCCGATCCGAGCCCCTCTCCCTCCGTCCCTCCCTCGCCCCCAGCATGGAGCTCATCCGAGCCCCTCTCCCCTCCCCCATGCGCGGCTGGCCCGAGCCCCACTGCTCCCCCTGCTCCCCTGAGCCCTGCCACTCACCCCTCCCCAAGCTCCTTTTTGGCAAAACCGGTGATCAGGTGACACGAGCAAATGGGACAAATGCCCAGCTTTGCCCAAAAAGTCAGGACATCTGGGGCCAAAATGGGACGTACACTCATCCTAGGCCAGGGACCCCCAAACATTTTCAGGTCCACGACCCCCCTCCTGGGAGACGGGCCCACAGTTGGGGGCTGTGAATGGGGGTGTGGCCGGGAGCAGAGCCACAGCTCGGGCTGGAGGCAGGGCTGGGTGGGACCAGAACAGAGCAGGGGGCAGGGCAGGGCCCCACTGTGCTCCCCCCGAATGTTCCTCCCTGCAGTTTGAGGACCACTGCCCTAGGGTGTGGTAAGAGCCACCCAGGGAGCTTGGGCAGCTGTGAGGAGCCCCAAACCCTGCACTTGCCTTGGGTGGAGGCCTGGGGTGCCCAAGAGCAGCCCCCAGCCTGTGTCCCTGCCCTCCAGAGAGCACCGCCCCCAGCAGGGAGAGGGCCCAGGGCTCCCTATAGTGATCTGGGCTCCCTGGGCAGCTCTTAACATGGCCCATCTTCTGGCCAGGCCAGGGGGCGGGAGACCTTGGGGGGAAGGAGGAGAGCAGGGGGCAGGGCCCCATGGCAGGGGAGGATGTGGGGGCCCAAATATTCTTTGTACCCAGGGCCCCAATAAATCTTAATCCGCCTCTGATAGGAGCCGTATTTTTAATTATTTATTTGGTTGGCCTCTTTGTCATCTTTCCAAAGTTGGAGTTTTGAAAAATTACAGAGTGGGAGAGAAAAGAATTAGAACCCACACCACCACCAGTATTAAACATCATTCATCTAATTGCAATCAGTGATTTTAAATAAATAAGATGGGGGGGGGGAGGGAATGGAAAGGGAAGAAAAGGAAAAACCAAAAATCCAAAATTTTGTAATGTTTGATTTTAGAAAAACAAAATAAACATTTTAGTTAGAAACAAAGCAAAATGAAAATGAGTATTTAGTTAGAAAATGGGCCTAACAAAGTAGGTCCTAGATTTTGGATTTTTGATTGCCCAATTTGAGACTCTGCAAAGAGACCCAATTTTTAGAGGCCAGGAAAATCAGGCCTTGAAATATTAGATTTTTAAAAATTTCTAAGGCAACGTGCTGTCAAAGGCACAAAATAATGTTTCTCTTTGTTTTTTTCAAGTGTTAACAGTAACAATGTTGGTAATATTTTCTTTCAGGAGTGTGATTCTTAAGCTCTCTCTTTAACTTTTGAATTCCTAACTTTTTCGTGTTTATCCTCTCATAGAACTTAATTTATCGTGTGTTTCTCATGGGCTGTTAGTGATACATGCTGGTAATCACAACTCCATTTCACTTTTTGGGGTTT